ACTCTGTTGTAATTTTTTATTAGGTGAAACATTCTGAAGTGGCGCTAAATATATGCGAGAAATTGGGTAGACAACATTGAAACCAGCTTTGGCGTTTCACGAACATTTGGCTCATCTTGCAAAGTATTTCGAAGACCTGGCGTGACTCTGTAGTAAAATACTTGGTTTTCACGCAGATTGCTTGGTTTCCACGCCAGTGACTCTAGCGCCTATTAGAGTCACTGGAAAAAAAATTTTTTTTTCCAGTGACTCTAATAGATCTAGGGGCTTTAATAGGCACGGTCTCATAGCGGCCTCCTATGGCGGTCGCTGTAACTATGCACCCCAAAGTGTTCATATAAGCTAATGGGCTTGAATTTGGGTATATGGCGCCGTCACTTGAGAATATGGCTTTGCAGTGTTTTTAAACCTTGCTTTTAGAATTGAAAATTCCAGGTTGCGTGCCGCGCTGTAGTGTTTGGTTCGTGTGTTCTCAGCAGCCTTGAAAACCTACAGGCAGTATTTTAACCATACTGAAAAAAGTGTGAGAGACAACTTTAGGCTATCGCAATAATCGTACATAAAGTTGGAGAATTCACAATCCACTTTTGTGATTATACATGACAAGGCTACTCATCAAAAGCTTAGAAGTCATTAACTAAGACATCTCATCTCCATACCTCTTGGCGATGACAGTAAGATATAGTGTGAATATTAGGGGTGTATGAATGCTCGAAAATTTTGAATAACAAATCGAATAGCACTCTATTCGATTCGATACTCAAACGGAATAGTACATGTTGAAAAATATTCAAAATTTCGAATATTTTTCCTCCAATGGGAGAACCAAAACACAACGAAATTTTGAGGAACTAAATGTCACGCTTTCTTATTTTTATTCCTAAAGTGATTTAAAGGTAAACATAGTTGACCGAGATCTGTCTGGCTGGGTAAAAATTATACAAATAAAATAAGTTCTCCAGCCACTTTAGTCTGTATAGTACTTATTTTCTAAAATTAAAAAGTGGCCCTACACTTCGAGGCACACTCAGTCTTCAGGGTGTAACTGTTCAGCTGGACAGTCCGGCCAGTAACTTCCCGTAGAGACCAAATGGGTCTCGACCCGTTAAGTCCAATTTTAATTTTAGTATTAAAACTAGGCTAAAAGTGGGCCGGAGAGTTTATTTTATTCGTCTAAAGCGATCTGCATGCAGACCCAGCTTTACGAGGCTACCGACACTATATTGATTGCCGGAGAAACATATTTCTTCTGAAAACTCCATTCATACTCCCGTTCTCATCTTGTAATAACTGTTTGCGGCATGACAACTAACAGATGCGAGTATTGCATTTTTGTAAATTGTACTTGTAGATGCAGATTTAAACGTCGATTTATACATGCTTTTGGAGTGCAGGCCATGCTGTGATGACAGGTTGATCTGCTTTATTATATCTTTAGATGTATCTGCGGCATTTGGTTGAAATTTTTTTACTTTCTTTATCACAATTTTATTTAAAAGCAGGTGACGAAGTCTCAGATTGATAACATCAGTGAATTCTGTGTCTGAATGTGCAGTTACAAAATATTGCGAAGGCTTTAGTTTCTGCTGTACATGAACTTACCTTAGTTTTCAAAATTGTGGTATTTTAAGTCAATTAAAGGTAACTGTAAGGTCTCTTGCGAAAGTGTGCGAATATTTGCTGCAAATAAAATGTGGTGGTGCTGTAAGACTGTACTGAAAGTGGTCTACTTACCATATGAAAGCTGTTCGAACAGTACTCAATTACAATATACAATTCGTACTCAATTAGGTTCCAATATTCACTATTCGTACACCTTAGTTATTATTGATTCTGATTTCTCTTGCTGCTGCCAATAGTTTACAAGGCTAACAACACGGAGTGAAAATACAAGCACATTTCATGTCTTGTCTCCATGACATTTTTTTTTTTTTTTCGTACACCCTCAAAAGCCTCGTGTGTCCTCTTACAAGCACCTTCTCTCTGACGTCACTAAGAACATTTACTGATGATGCATGGCGGCATTGTCAACAATCCCAATTGTGCGCTTCACTTATAGCACCTTTTACGTGATGATAATGTAGAATTGATTCTTCAAAGCTTTCATTTCATTTCACTTTATTTTCAATTCCAACATGATAGATAAAAAAACTGTTTGGACTCATAGCCAAAGGCTAGAATAGGGTCCAACGATGCAATACAAAATGGCACAGTATTCAAACGATAGCACAAGGCAACAATAGCACATGTAGCAAAACAATAGAACAAGGCATTGAACCTGGATACAAGATGATAAACATTGCGGATATAGTAAAGAAGGTTAGGCATTGTACATACATATATATTCAGATACTCGAACTTTGGTAAGATAACAGAAACATATAATTTTTATACACAAACAAAAGAAAGGCAATGAGTAATAACAACTATGCAGTAAACTTTCACTGGACGTAGTGGTACTTATATACAAGGAGTGAACGATTTTGTTGCTATTAAGGAGGTTACAGAGACACATTGAGGATTGCAAGGAAGTGTTTTTTTTTATTTTAGAGGAAAGTTAACAGCCGATTTTATATCCTGGGGCAATCTATTCTAGATTTTGGTACCGACAAACTGCAGACGCCGTTCTTCATAGACGTTGTTCGTGGGAGGAAGGTTAAAATTACCTGCAGCAGTATTCCTCGTAGGGCGGAATGAGGAGCAAAGAATGGACGAATGAACAGGACGGTTATACCTTATGATATTATTAATGACAATGGCTGTTCTCTGTTGACGCAAACTGTCCATTGGTAAAATTTGTAGTTTACTAAACCTTTAATAAGGCATAAACATTAATACACATGCGAGGAGCTTGTTTGTTTCTTTCTTTGTTTCCTTGAAATTATGGCTCGCACCCATGGCTCAAGGGGATTGGCATAGACAGCTTTTCTTTTTCCTCTGGAGGGGGGGGGGGGGGGTGCTCTGCTTTATGATTTTTTGTGCATTTGCATGCATGCATGTATACACAAATTGTAACAACTTCCCAAACCATGCCTTGGCTACCATACCTGATCGATGCATATGCGCAATTTCGCACTGAAGAAAATCCTGCCAGATACACCAGAGTTAGTGTAGAGCATCGTTGCCACTAGTGGCTACTTTTCGCCACATTGGCAAATTCTAGAGGCTTGTGGCAACCTAAAATTATGAATGGTGAGGTGGCAAACTTTTGGAGATTTTCGGCTTATGTCTCCACTGAGTTATGCATTCTTTACTCAGTGTCCTCAAGATGAATGGGCGACATTTTTTTCTATTTTTCGTAGTTTTAGACTCACCAGTAGAAGGCGCACTTTATATGCAATTGAGTAAGTCTGTCACATTTATTGTGTGTATCTCCTAATTCACCTAGATCCTGGAGGCACTGGTGCATTGGTGCATCCGCCAGCAACCGCCCAGCCAAATTTAGGCCATGTACTGCTTGGCGTGCCGCAAGGCAGTGGTGTTATGCTACATGTTTTAGGTGAATTAGGAGCTTTAAGCTTTTTCAAAGTTTCGCTTCTGAAGTACCTAGGTGATGGTTAGGCCGCGTGTTACGACCACAGCTCCAACCGTCATGAATAGCTTGTTGACTTCTTCAGTCCGGTAGTACTCCCTAATTTGGTATGTAGAGTTTAAATTTGTTATTAACATACTCTTGAGGTGGGCCAAGAAGTCGACATTCTTTGGGCAACCATTGAAAAACTGCAGTGAGGCAAATGTATAGCGTAAGCATGACGACACGATAAGCGTAGTACGGGCATTGCGATGGTTACCCAGTACTGTCGATCGAATTTATTTCCGTTGCTGTGTAATTAGATTGTTTGATCATAGGACACAGAATTCCACTGCAATGAAATTCTACAAACCTGCAGGAAGGCTACGCATGCCATATCTTTCTTGTTGTAGCGACTGCTTCATCCCGTATTCGCCACAATGAAAACCCTCACAAACTTTTGTCTTGAGGCACTAGCATTCAGGGACGCTACTAGTGTATGCATGCCCTTTTTCAGTGCTTTCATGGTGAAGCGGGTGATGTGACTCACATTGAAAAACGTGAATATGATTTGTGGTTTATGGATGGTACCGTCCTACACGGGACTACAGATAATTAGGAATTTCCATTATGAGACACGCAACACATATTCAGAGTGGCAACTTCTTTGGGAAGATTTGAAGAGAAATTTCGATTTTTGGCCACATTTGGCTCGTCGTTTGAAGAATTTTACTCAAATGTCAGTGGCAACCCTGGTGTAGAGCTGAGCCACCCGTTTTAAGCTGCCTAAGTTCTCACACTCCTCTAGTGCATCGTAACAACACAAAACATCAACTATATTTCAATACCCAGCATGTGATCTCATACAGATCATCCATTCACAGTTGATGTTTCATCAGGTTTTACCAGTGCCTTCGTTCTAAGAGCACCTAAAACGTAGAATTAGCTTTATACTTTTACTATTGCCCTACCCAGTTACGAAGCAAGCAGCTTGAGACCAACTATTCCCGCTATAATTCTTCTGAGGCTCACGACTATGGAAATAAATAAGATCAATTTAACTCCACTTTACTTAAACTCCTGCTTCTTTATTTATGGTATAGTATCTTGACCATCTTTTTCTATACCTAAGTGCAGATTAGCAGACCAGAGCGCAGCTACTTCTTGTATATAAAACATTTTTTCTTTCTTTCTTTCAAAGTAGTTATCGCAACTTTTTGCCAAGAATTATTTTCACCAATATATTGTGCCTGCGCATGAGGTAGACAGGCTCAACTATATTGTGCTCAACGATCACACTAACAAATGACTAACAAGTGTTTGAGCACACATTATACCTGCATAGTGCTAAGAAATGCAACTATTCATTGCAAAGCATTAGTATAAGACAAGAGGTCACAAACCAGCATTTATAAGAAATGAAGCAAATGACATACACTTATAAATATATAATCTTATTGAATCAATGTCCTAAGTCAAAGCGAAAATACCTTTGTAACTGTCTGTAGAAAATTTATTTGCAAGGAGCTCGTACATCAAGTGTTTCTAAGTAATGTAACCATGTTTGCGAAAAGTATGTGATTTGAATAAAGAAAAAAAAAGACTGTCCACACGCTCAGATTGGAGAACAAACACAGCTGTTGCAGTCTAAGGTCTAAAAAATCTTCTCCATGTCAAAAGATCAAAAGCATATTGAAATACATCGACACATGAACAAGCTTGCAGTATACAGGAGAAAAAAAAAAAGAATAACTTTGAGTTGGCGAAGATGTAAAACTTACAAGCCATTAGAAAGACATTATAGGCTCGCAGTGGCAAGTGTCTTTTTTTTCAGGTGTCACACACACATCCAAGAAAAAAATTTCCACTTCCTATGCTATTAAAAGAATAACATAGGCTAGCACACTCCTTATATAACTACAGTTCATGTGTTATGTTAATGTATTTTCTAAGTTTCTCTAGACTGACAAATTTTTTATATCAAGAAGGCATGGATGGGAAACAGCAGTTCTGATTCTACTTTTATCACAGCAGCTCAAAGTCACTGAAGTTAGTTACGAGCACAACATGCATCTAATGCCACTTGGGAGGGTCAAGTGCATGCGTGGCTTGGGTAGTACATATGCGTGTGTACGCATTTTAACTCCTTGATGTTTTTCTCAACGCTTTACCAGTTAGTTGCCAATAGCAAGGTAAAGTTATTTACAGAAGATAAGCCAAAATTATGATGCCTACCAAGAGAAGATTTTCGTGAGAGTACATTTTGAAAGAATACAGATCATACATGTTTCGTTAGTTTCAAAGAAAGGAAACATTTATGATCTATTCCATAGTTTGCCAATTATGCTATATGCCATTTATGATTTATGCCAGAATGCTGATACCAATGACAGGCAGTATCACACTCTATAAAAAAACATTGCTAGAAAATCTAAAGTGGACATATTGGACTGTGTTGATTTTGTCATTTTTGCTAGACAGTCAAAAAGAAACCCAAGGGAGCACAGAGTAGCCATGAGATGGGAGACGTAATAAAGGTATGCTGGTGACAGAAAAGTGTTCACACAGCTAATAAAAACTACAGTTTTTCTTTCTGAGTGCAACAAATTAAGGAGTTGTGCTATACCTCAAAGCATTCAATGACCATCCAAACGTATGTACAATTTCACTTGCAGTCCAGCAAAGCATGCCATATAGTAGTATTACACTGTACAAACACAGCATACATAACTGCACAAGCATATTCTTGCAGCTGAGCAGAAGTCCACAGTTTCTATTAAAAAGAAATGAAGGAGGCACTTCAACAGTGTTTTCTCAAAACAGTGCACGTTGTTTCGACTAAGTGATGAGCTTTTGCAGTACCTAAAAAGCTTTTATAAGGTGTCTCCGAAAGCTACACAACATACAAAAGAAGGTTTTTGAACAATCTGATGGGGGTAGGTGGAGTCTGCAGAAAAGAGCCCCAATGCAATCAATGTATCCACAAATGCATGTTGCTCAAAAGAAGGATGTGAGCAGCTTGATGGGGTCCTCCACAACCATGCCCGTTTCCGTGGCTGTAACAACCTCCTGCTCCATGTACACTTCCCCAATTTCAGCATTTTGGTCTTCCACGAACACAATCGGTGCCAAATGAAGCTGCTGCGGCTGCAGGTGTTGCTGCAAGTGCGGTTGAAAATGCGGCTGCTCCACCCTCTTGGGCGCTCGAGGTGCCTTTGGCTTGTCTACTCTCGAGGCCTTGCCGCGGGCGGCAAGGGGCAAGGAAGGGTTAGGGTCGGCCTTGTGTGCGTGCTGAAGGTGCTGCTTCAGTTTCGTGTTGTTCACAACACCCTTGCCACACAGTAGGCAGTGCAGCTTGAACTCCTTGGTGTGTACGCTGACGATGTGGTCCTTCAGCGTCTGGTGGATGTTGAAGGCCTTGGTGCAGTGGGGGCATCCGAAAGGCCTCTCACCTGTGTGGGTGCGAAGATGTGTCTGCAGTGTGCAGTTGTGCTTGAACGCCTTGCCGCAGAAGTGGCACTCAAAGTTCTTCTCGGCATTCATGAGTCGCTTGCCTGCGGCGCCGGAGTGCCGGCTCAGTTTGTGCGCTCGCAGCTCGTTGGGAGTCTTGAAACGAACGGGGCACTGGTCACAGCTGTGTGGGTGACGCAGCGAGCGCAGCACCTGGAGTGAGGGAGTCTTGGCCACCTCGGGGTGCATGTGAGTCACGTGGATGCCCATAGCTCGCACAGTCTGCGAAAAAAAAAAAAGCAGCTTAAAAACATGGGGAAAAGAGTCAGCTATTGGGGTCTAATGTCTTCCCAATAGCTCAACCATCGAAAAACGAAACCTTCACTCAATGCTGTTTCACATACACTTTCTGTCCCTGTTATGAAAATTCATCTACAAACAGCAATGCACACGAGAAAACGCGGATCAAAGACAAAGGCAGCATCGCGATGCGGTGCTGTTGTTTTTGCCTCCGTAGAAGTTTGGATGCTACCCCTCATTTGTGAAAGACACGTGGACAATCCCAAGTCTCTACTGTACATGATTTTGTATAGCTGAAGCTTCCATGTTGAATATGTTCTGTAGGTTGAAAAGCAGGTGCCTGTTCTTACGCTGCTGTATACCGCGACGTTGCTGCAAAGCCCTGGTGACACCATGAACATACGAATACCAGTGAGATACGTTTCGCAAAAGTCTCACATACGGGATGCCGTCAAGCTAGAGATCGTTGCACATGTTACCACGGCCATGAATGGTACTGTCCGAAACTTCCAGGACTACACTTACATAAATGATCGAGAAATCGGATGGTAGAGCACAATTGGCAGTGTACTGCGTGTTCTGAGCGGAGGGCGTGGATTGGTTCTGACAAGCAGAAATTTGGTTTTTCATCTACGTGTTGTTTCCATCTATCTGAACTATCCATAAAGACTGCAGTGTTTTTCTTGGCCTCCTAAGACTACATCATCCTAAACATATTGATTACAGAGATGCTTCCCACTGGAATGAGCAATCTCAACCAACAACACTGCGTACTCATAGGCAACAAAAGTTCACAGGTGGTAGGCTCAACTACAAATTGAAATTGCTACTCAATTAATGGACGACACCTTTATCCTACATCTTAAAAACCTTGAGCGCCTACTAAGACAGGTACAAAGAGAGAGGGAATGACAACAGTGCCGGCCTATGGGCTGGTTTTTATTGAACATATTAAAACTGTTGTTGGGCTAAATAGCAACTTGTTATATTGTAGGTACTTAGCACCAACTTGGTAATCCATCACAGCACACGAAACACGCTGTGTGGAGCGTGCTTTATTTGAGAAAAAGCATGTATGAACGTGAGAGTGTTTAGAGGGATTACCAAGTTGTGCTAAGCATTTACAATATTCAATATGTTGAGTTAACATAGCAGATAACTCAATAGGATACAAGAACTAAATACGACGATGCGTTCGCAGACGAAACGGGAACCAGAGGTGTAGTCACAGCAGGGCTAATTGAACAACAGCCCCCCCCCCCCCCCTCGGATTTTTTTCGTGCTCTCATGTATCGCAGACCAAAACAGCCTCCTAAGCTAGAAATGACCTTAGTTTTTAAACAGAATTCCTCTCCACGGCCGAAAAAGCATCTCTGTGCGAACACAGCTCATTAAGCTGGCTGTCCTCACTAAGCCAGTGGTTGCCCTGTAACTGGCTAAGCAGTGCACGACCGTCAGAAATACCCAGCAAACAGATGCATAGTGCTGTAGATTGCCGAAGTGCTACAAAGCGGCGTGCTTATTAAAGATCCCTCATCATTTTTTCGTCTGCATGCACTGGAATTCGTATAGTGCCGAATACTGAGACGAGCGCAAAAGGAACTATCAAAATCAGTACGCCGAAATGGAAGTTATTAGCCTTCAAACTTCAACACCCGAGCAGACGATGAGAAGAAACATTCCCTTTTGCACATCATTCTCTTACTGACATTAAAGGCTGTTTACATCGCCGTGTGCCTCCTACAAAGACGTACCAGATGGCTCATTTTGTGGTGGCCATTGTGCCGTGCTCCTAGCGTCGTTTTGTAATTGTTTTCACATTTTCACATTTAGGAACAGAAATATTTTTCTATTTGAGAAATTATAAGTACTGCCTTTATAATTTTTAGCCCACACCCACGTGGCACCATACGAGCATTATGCGCGACTTGTCACTTGAAGCCAATCAAAGCGCACGGCCTATGTCATCACTCCCACGTGGTGAAGCCTCATTTCCGATCACAAAAATAGCCGCTGTGTGTCACTGTAGTCTAAAAACAATGTGGTGTCTCCACAAAAATAAAATTATAGCAGCTTCTGTTTTGCCATTGCCACTCATGCAACGATATCGGATGCATTCTGTAGTTTGGCAAGAAGCGATGAAAACAACAAGCTTAATTTGTGTCACAGGCCCCTTTCCCTCCAACTCTATTCAAGCCCTGATGTTTTATTCATAGGTTGTGTAAACTTAAGTACAGACACACTAATTCAGCAAAAACGAAAGTGATAATGGCATGCTGTCTGAAGTTATACGACTTGGAAAATTCAATATAAAAGAAAAAATGCCAATTCTCAACTCGACTTTCGCGGGGTCATTTGACCACGCTTCACTCGCTCGTTACGTCTGAAGGCTTCCCCAATGAAATAAGCTGGAAGCACATACATAGGGGAAGCTCACATATCATTGTTGCTTGTTTTTTTATATATTTTTTGTTTTCAAAGCCTTTTTGCCACTGTAACAAGTGTAGTGCCTGATGCCTGGCTTGCCAGAACGTGTGCGGGAGCTACTATGTTGAAGCGAGGTACTTTCTGCTGTTTTTTGCAAGATTCCGAGTCACTCCCTCCTCTTATTCTGAGAAAGGAACTCATGGAACATCCTAGAACATTGAAGTACAGTTGACCCTTCGCACGTTGTTTGTTGAGCTGCCAGATGAACAACAATGGTGCACTGCACTCTTTCAGCAGCGCACATGTGTAAAGAGACAGCTGACAAACTCCAAAAAGCAAGAAGAGGGAAGAAAGAGAGGTCCTTCGTAAGGACTTCCGACCCGGGCAAGCAAAAGATACAGTGGTGAAATGATATCCAACGTCTCTGTCATGCTTTGTAGTTGCAGTGATCTTTTTTTGTTGGCGCCGTTTCTGTTCAGGGTTCGATGAAAAAGCAGCGAGACGAAAAATTAAAAAGATTAGTAAACTCAGTTTTACTAACAAGGATAACTTCTAACGTTACAATCATCCAATCATATGGTGGCAATCTCCCGGTGCCATTTCAGCTCGCAAAATTCTCACGAGCACTACTATGTGGTGATGCGCTCGGCAGCGATATAGTGGCTTTATTGCGTGATTAAAATACTAAATCATTTGATATTGACGTTGAGACCTATGCTAAAATTACCTCCGCCTATCGGTCTATGCAAACCACAAATAAAGAAATAGGTGCTTCAATAGTGTTGGAGGGCCCCTTTAATGGGATGTGCTTTCCCACGCTTAGGCATGCTACGTTGAATGAGTAGCTATTGTTGACATACTGGACGTTCTTGATTCAGCTTTAGAGAAATTTCATCTGACATAAGTCATGAAAATGCAGTGGCCCTGTCATCAGACATTTAGTTTCATACAGCAGGCAAAAGCCGCTGCACCTACCACAGTTGCTGCTGTGTTTTTGCTGGCATGCACACTGTTTGCCATTGTAAAAAAAAGCAAAAAAAAAAAACACGCCGCACTGGCAAGTAGTCGAGGCTACTTGCATGGGAAGACATAAGGAAGATGTAATAAGCCTTTTCTTTTTCTTCTCCAGTTTTCCATTTCAGAAGACCTGTGCAAGAAATGAGCTGCAGCCATAAAATGCGAGGGCACGTCATTGACGCTGTTTGGTTCATGGGTTGTGTTGTAAAGCAGCTTACCCAGCAAAAATAATTAGGTTTGCTGAGCGTTTGTCATTGTAATGTGCCACACCGCATTTTCTGGAACAAGCTTTGTGACGAGACACAGCAAGCACGTTTACCTCAGAGCACACTATTGTTGCGGATAGCATTGTCACATACAAAGAATTTTTTACAGTTGCCAGTGCTGATATAACTGAAGAAGTCACAGACACGTCGAAAAGCATTTCGTGATACGTGAACTAAAAGTGCCACTCGGCCATGGAGCATGTGTTTCTTTCTGCGATTCATTAAAGCAGCTGTGAACGAAAGGCTGCCTTCGACAACGCTTTTCCCGATTGTATGCTGCTGCGATGACACACCTGATCCGAGTGTATTGGGCACGGCTGTTCTGGCTGCGGCGCGCTTAACATGATTTTCACATCTGTTGGAAATTACGGAAATATAGCACCCAGGAATACTAAAGAGACTGTTTGCTGGCTGTACGCGTTTTGCAGTCTCAACTTGAGCCCAAAAAGGGAGCTGCGGACCTGGAAGGTATGCAACTGCATTACCCATAGCATGTTGTATAAGCATAATAGCAAGCTTATTATGAATAAAATGTCCCAGATATTGTTCTTGCGATTAGCACGACTAACTTCCCCTGCCCAATTGTTACATACGAGCATTTGTCGTAACTATTCGTAACTGTGTTCTTACTCTACACATTTGCATATCATATCCAAAAACTGCTTAAACGGACACTAAAAGCAAATATTAAAGGCACACAAAAGGCAACTATTAAGGCGACAATTGTTGAAATAGCAGTCCAGAAAATTCGCAGTGTTATTTTTGTGCCAAGAAAGGGCTGGTCCGCATTGGGCTAGCACACTTCAAATTACCCGCCTCTAGCAGCAGACCGTCTCGCATCACTGTTGCCGTGCACAACGTTGCGCAGCTTTATTGTGCAGCCGCCGGCAATAGTAACAGCAGAACGAAAGCAGTGGGAACCACAGCAGCAACAATGGCCATTGAAAAATTTCCTGCCATTCGCTCCGAGATAGCAGACATGCTTCGTTCAACTGGGCTTTGATAGGTGGCACGACCTGTCTAGTTTAACCACACGAAAATTGAATTTTTGAACCACTCGTGCCATTTCTCATAGTAACGTCCGGCAATTTTTTTTTCCACGAATCAAACAGAAACAAACAAGCAGCATTTTATTGCATTTCTTGATGCATGGAAGGTTCTTTATTTAGTACAGCTGGATCGATTACTAGTGATTAATTGTATGTGGTTCGTCTGACCTCATTGGGATGATTTTGAGAATGCCCTACTGCGGCGCATATATTTTTGTGCGTTTACCTTAATTTCCCGGTAAGTAGGGCACTGATGTTGATAATATTGTCGTTTTATATGTTAAATTATTGTCATACATTGAGCTTTCACTCTGACATGAATTGTTATTTGACATCAGTGTTCCTCTAACTCGATGTTGAATTATGAGATAGTGATCCAGAAACCTCATCATTGTACTACTTTCGTGCCAAGAAAATGCTTTCTTTGAAATAACATCACATTTCAGAAGTCCGCACGGTGTTGGCGCACTTGAAATCACCCGGCTGAAAACAGACCTCCTGACATCGCCTTGCTGCTGTTATAAAGCTATAATTAGACTCACCTTGAAAGTCTTGCTGCATACTTCGCACACAGACAGGCTCTCCTCAGCATGCTTCTGTTGGTGGTGCTCCAGGTAGGCCTTGGACTCGTACAGGTAGGGGCACTTGCTGCACTGGAAGCCCTGATTGTTCTCGTGCAGGCGGAGGTGCCACTCGTAGCGGGTGTCTGACACAAAGACCCGCCCACAGCGAGGACAAGGCTTTTGTTTGCCCTTATTGTGCTGCAGAGTGATGTGCCTCTTGAGCTCATCTTGGACGACAAATGCCTTATCACACTGCGAGCATTGGAAAGGCATGACTCCCGTGTGGGTTATGGCGTGGGCCTTGCTCCGGTACAGGCTGAAGGTGGAAAACTCACAGTCCGTCTCAGTGCAACGGTACACTTTGAGCATGGGGAAGGGGTTCTCACCATTCTCGAGGCAAGTCTTGTCCCCCATATGCACCACGGCTGTGTGCAGCTGCTTCTTGCGCTCGCTGGTGAAGCGTTTCTTGCAGTGGTCACACTGAAAGTTGATGGTTTGTCCGTGAATAAGGCTCTTATGCTTGCGAAGTGCGAACATGGACTTGCAGGTAAGCGGACACTGCTCACAGCTGAATGTGGTAGAGGCATGGACATTGAGGCGATGAGCTCTGAGGCTGCCCTTAGAGGAGAAGCTGCAACCACATGTTGGACACGAAAATGGTCGTATGTTGTTGTGGGAACTGAGGTGGGACTGCAGGCCTGACTGGCTTCGCATTTCCTTCCCGCACTGCGGACACTTGTAGGTATGTTTCGCCTTCTTATGCCGGTAACCGGGCTGGTGCGTTCGAATGTGAGCCCGATGCCGTACCTTGTGGACTGAAATCAAGCCGCACGTCTCGCACTTGAACTGCGGCACATCCGGGTGGCACTGCACTACGTGCTCGCAGAGCTCCTTGTAGGTAGTACCCTTGAAGCTGCAGTTGCTGCAGTCACGATATGCATCTCCCTTACACACGTCCTTGTGAGCTGCGAGGTCTTCCTCGGTGAAAAAGGGCTTTCGGCAGTTGCTGCAACGATGCTGAGCAGTCTGTCCATGCTTCTGCATCATGTGCACCACTAGGTTGTGTTGCCGTACAAATGGCATGTTACAGAGGTGGCAGATCACTGGGTCACCATGCGATTTCTTCTCATGATTTTGCAAAGCCATTTCTGTGGCAAAGCTTTTCTTGCATTTAGCACACTTGTGTGGATTGATGCGGTTGTGCACCTTCATGTGCACCTGCAGCACCGACTTGAACTGAAAGCTCCTGTCGCATATCTGGCAGCGGAACTTTCTCTCTCCAGTGTGCTTCATCATGTGGTTATTCAAGCCTGACCTCTTCGTGTAAACTTTTCTGCATTTGGTACATGCAAAGTATTTAATTGAATCTGTGGACTTGGAGAGACGGCCAACCTCTTGAACAAGGGGTTTCAGCTGTGATCCAGTCAGAGGTAGGGGGCGCTTTGAAGCCTCTGACTCAGCCAGGACTGGAGGTGTGCCCGGAACAGATGCATCACTTAACTGGCTTTCTTTGTTCGCTTGTTTGTCTTGTGCCGCAGCTGTATGCTCTTGGAGATGCTTCAGGGCTACGAGCTTATCAAAAGTAACGTGAGAACACTTAAAGCACTTAAACACAATCTTTGTATTAGCAGGAGGCTTGGTGGGCGTGTCTTTTGATTCTTTTGGTGAATTTGCCAGTACAATGGGTTTGAGACCCTTCCCTGGTGTCGTTGACAGTGGCTTTGGTGTAGAAGGAGAAACGACAGACCTCAGTTCTGTTAGGCTGCTCTCATTAGCTTTTTTCACACCAGCTTTAATAATTTTCGGAGAAAAAGCACCGGCGGCCGAGAGTGGAACTGGGCCGGTTTTAAGGACAACGCGCTTCACATTCGGCGACATAGAGGCAAGCATGTTGAGGACTGTGGGCAAGACTGTTGTCTCAATAGAACCTTTAATTCCTGAGCTAGACTCACCCCCAGACAGGCTTAACGAGCTACCAGCCGTTGTAATGACTGCTAACTTATCCTTATTAAGGGAAAACACATTACCGATACGTGGCTTCGTATTGTTTCTCTGGGGCTTTACTTTGTCTGGAGAGGCTGGACTGGAAACCTTCAATGCTGGAACTGTCGCCTTATCTGATAGTGGCCGTTGCGGCAAAGGATCGTTTTTTGAGGTATGCAGCTTGCAGTGAGCTATTGCAGTCTCCTTGCATGGCGTTATATGTTTGCAATACAAACAGGAGTAGAGCGCCATCGCTTTGGCCCCACTGTTGCCCTTGGGAGTGATGGCAGCACTTGCACTGCTGTTTTCTACAGGGCCGGGCTTCGTGGTGACATTCTGGGACATGTTCGAAGCTCTTGCAATGACAGTTGTGGTATTCGCAGGCGCTTTGGTGGCATTAGCAATATTTCTACGGGTGGAAACATCATTTGCAAGCGCTTTGACGGCATCAGCAATATTTCCACGGGTGGAAGCATCATTATTAGAATTGACAGCACTGGTAGTAGCACTGACTTTGCCGACCATGTAGGAGTGATCTTCAATAGTGACATTTGCAGAATTTTCAGAAGCATCGTTTGAGTCACCAGTCAGGTCAATTTCCTCCACACTGCTAGTCAGGTGCCCTCTTTGGTCTATAGTGAGTGCTGAGGCACAGTCGTCAATTGTCGCCGGTTCGGGCGAACTGTCGCTATCGGGTGAACACGGGTCTGGCAGGGGCGACGCAGCAGGAGACGGCACCTCCGACTCCACTTCAATTTCGCAACCTTCAGTCTGAACCTCCACAACCGCTCCGTCGTCGACGAAGAGATTTCCATCGCGCCGCTCGTCGATGTAACAGAACGAGCTCGGCCTTCCTCCCGAAGAGATCCGAACTTTCTCGCGCGCGTAGGCTGCGTCAAAGAAAGCCGCTTCGGGTTGGCAAGCCTGCGTGACAGCCGTCGCCACGACCTTGTGTATCGAGCCCACTCCTCGAAAAATTCAAATTTATTCTGCCGCCTCTTTCGATGCCCTCTGGAAACACCAAGTCGAGAGACATCGCTTTCATGTCCAAATCGACGTCGACGCAGACAGAGACCATGTTGGCAGGGTACGTTGCACCACAAAATTCTACAAGTAATGCAATCGACAAATTCGATCACACATCATTTATTTAGTCAAGGTTTCCAACAGGTGCGTTTCGGGGGACGAGAAAGCGCGTCTGCTACATCTTCTGGCAGCGGCTGCGATGCTAGATGACAAACGCGGTTACAGTGGTTGCATTTATACGCACGCCAGCTTTAGCCTAACGATGCGGGAAGCCAGTACAGCAACGAACGTTTAGTGGGGCTCACCGCCAGCGCCCATTCAGAATGCTAGGTAGGTTGCGGTTGAATTTACCGTGTGCCACTAGGATCGATGCGCACGGAAAGCCTCGTGGATTAGACCAGCAGCAGAGAATAGTCGGGGTGCTCGTAGTCGGACGACACACACACCAGCATCATGGAAAGGACATTGGTGTGCCAACCAACCAAAACAGGCAGTAGAGGGCAGGCCTGGCAGGAACGATCTTTGGGCAGAGCTCAGTTCGCCAGCGCGCGGGAAAACTACTGAAGAAAAAAAAAAGAAAGAGAAACTGTGCAGCTCATTCACCAACAAGATAAACGCAGTTCCCTTAGTTTTCACGCTGCCGATGTACGTTACGGAATCAATAGCTTTGTAGATTTTATGAAAAAAGAAGATATGGTCATTCGTAGAGAGCATTGTGTTTGGAACTTGTCCAAACACGCTGTCAGCGCCATCGGCATCGCATGGGGCGTTGGCGAGCATAGCGCCTTTATGCGTACTAACTGGGTACTCACGTTTTTCCTCATTTCCGCAACAAACTGAACGGGACCTTGCGCATCTGGCGTCAACGTGACGTGTTGTCACAAAAATAACGTATTGACAAAACATTGAAAGCACCTGCGAACGTCGCTGTGTTTCCTGTCGATGCGGCTTGCATCCCGGTGCTTCTTATTCCCTCCCTTACGTTTTGCAATGTTTCTTTACGTCCTTTTTACCTGAATATAGCGGAGACATGTGTCAGCGTACGACAGCTGTTGGTGTCAGACTGATTTGACGCTAGCTAAGAGAAATGGTGTCGCTAGTTTTATGGGTGACCAAGTTTCTAGCGAGGCAGCGGCTGCTCTTCGCGTCGTTCATCGTAATTTGGATCGTTGGCATGGCGATAACGAGTGAGTTTTTTTATTGATAGCCGAAACTTACTATCGCACATCGTTTCAGTCTGTGTGAGAAGATGCTCAAACCGCGCCGTGGCGGTTTTGGTTTCGATTGCTGATCGCTTGTTTCCTGCCTTGCGTTTTCAGTATGCCTGATCGGACGTACCGACGACGCCAAGTCCAAGTATCCGGATACCACTGCCGCTCTGTACCATGCGGGACAACACAATATGCAGCTTTCCCACAGCCTTACCAAGGCGAAAGCTATGAAGTATTGCAATCCGTACAATAGTATATCGCTTTGGCAGGAAGGTGAGTCATGAACGAGTGACTTAAAATGATTCTTTTAAAGGGAAGTGCTCGCGTCGTTGTAAACCTCGTCGCACATTTAACATATGCGCTTAATGAGAATGATTTTGTTGGTGACGTCAGCTCCTAAGTTTATTTCGCTAGTGATGGTCACAAACATACTGCGCGTGCATCACCTTTGTGAAAAAATTGTAGTGCATCTTCAGTTTTTGGTTTTGGCTAGCTTCGTTCTGACGTCCTTTCGTGCCCATGATGATAATGCCATTTCGGTATAATATTGACCAAAGTCGACGTCTCCTCAGATGGCCAATTGTTCATAATGTGGCGTGTTTTGTTTGATTTACTTCGCAGGCAAAGTACCGAGCAGCAATTTCACACTGGAAGCCGTAGCCATAATGGTGCGTCATGGAGAGCGCATGCCCCTGCGGCGAGTTCGCAACCATCACCTTCTCGGCTGTCGCCAGCCTCCGAGCACGAGCTCGCCTTCCGTTGGCAGGAACAGCCCCTTGCATTCCTTTGTCAATGTCATAACTAAGCACCCCTTGCTCCCGCTAAAGAACATCTTTGCCACCATTGCGACACATCCTAACCAGAGCACATGCGCAGAGGGGCAGCTCACCTGGGATGGTGTAGTCCAGCACGTCAACATGGGGGCCAACCTCAATGAAGCCTACCACTCCGGTCCTTGGAGGCTCCTGCCTGACGATTGGAATGCGCGCTCTGTCAAGCTGTACAGCACCGTCTTCTCCCGCACTTACCAGAGCGCTCTAGCATTCCTCTATGGCTTCCTGCCAAATTTCTCATTTGACAGGCTCCACCTGGTGCCCTCGCGGGACATCAACTTCTGCATGGGGCCGCATTGCGCCTGCCCGCAGCTTAACACGTACGAGAGGCTCTTCACACGCAAGACGAAGGTCATGCTCAAGAACCACCTGGCCGTTGTGCAGCTGCTGAACACGCTTGGCAAGGTGCTTAGCCCGGGGGGAAACAACTCGGAGTTTGTTGCGCCGAGGCCAATCATGGACGGACTGATGGGCTTCGTGTGCCAGCGCAAGCCGCTGCCCTGTGCCGACCATCACTGCGCCACCATGGAGCACGTTGGCAACGTCATCTCCTACGTGGACTGGGAGGGCCGACAGCTGTCTCAGGACTTGTCCTTTCGCCGGAGCAGCATTCTCAAGGCACACTACCTGCTGGCTCGAATTCACCGAGGACTGCGCGACTTCATGGATGGTACGTCCAAGACCAAGTTCTTTTCTTCTCTGGCCACGACATCAACCTGATTCCAGTAGCATCGACGCTCGGCTTCGACGATGGCACCATTCCCCCCTACGCCTCTCGTATCGTACTTGAAGCATACAGCAATGCCAGAAAAGAGCGGTTCATAAGGGTCCTTTACAATGGCAAGGATGTGACTCGTCACACACACTTTTGTAGGAGCATTCGTGCTGGCGTTGACACAGAGCTGTGTCCGTTTGGCAATTTCACCACTTTCATGCAGCAAGACGTGTTCAAGCTGTTCTCGGCTAAAAGCTTCGCAGCAGCTTGTGGCCTTGATGGCACACACTCTACGCCTACGGCTACGAGTCCTGCCTAAGGATTAATGGCCAAATTATTGGAGAAGCACTTAAGATGCAGTGGTGCATCTGTATATGCCAAGGAAGTGCAGCCCTCGCCCATTTGGGCCAGAGAACATGCCAGCATTGCGATGCACATGTTATCTAGTTGGCATCATTGCTTTGGCCTACAAGTCTGTAACTTGTCATCACCATGCAAATCGGATAACATATTAGGGCATTCCAGATAATGGGCGTGACACTTCACTGAAAGAGGCCCAGCACTCGAGAAAACTCATGGCATCTTGAAAGAAGGCTGCTAGCACACTCCAGCTCCTGCCAAATGAATCTTATCCTGGAAAACAATATATTTTACATAATGTATTTAGGAGCAGCTACTGAACTCATTCCAAGCATGAAACTATGTTATCAGGGTAAAAATGTAATGTGCCAGCAAGGCATGCTACAATGACTGCCTAAGCTGTTTGATTGCGGTCCCTGGCCAAGAAGTCCACTTTCTTTCTCATTTTTCGCTGCATTATAAAGTGATGATTTAGGTACGTCCTGTGTAATTTCACTCCTGCCCTTGTTATATTGTATTTTAAACACATTCAAATAGAAAGACCCAGTTTAAAGGCATTTGCTGCAGCAATGTGCTGCTCAATGTATACTCCCCCAGTGGCCAATAAGAGAGAAGCATTTCTCACTTTTATTTTTAAGTTTTTGCAACAAAATCGCATTCGATTGCTTTCATGTCCTTTAGCATTTGGGCATTTTTTGGCGGTAGCTGTTAGCATTGCGGACTGGCGTATCCACCGGCATCATGTTCCTTGTTTTCTCTATACTATGTGGATGAGTAATTGTGGTTACAATGGCTTTGCAGATACATTTAGTCTAATATAGATGCATTCGTTGCTGGTCAAATTTAGTGCCTGCAAACGACGTAGTGTAAAATGCCAAGCAGGTGTGCTCGCACTGCAGTGAAAGATAACTTGACAAGATTTAGAAGGAGGGCACTTACTAAGCCATGAACCAAAATTCAAGATGTGCAAGGAAGAATCTTAGAATACAACCCTGAAGCACTGCACTATATAAATACAATATTAAGAAACCATCCACATATCTAAAGGCTCTCAGAATTCGGTTTCCTGGGAACCGCTGCTGCGAGATTCTGTAGCAGCGAATAGGTTCAAAAGAAATGGTTGGAAGGGAAAAGGTAGCGCTTGCTTGATTTGTGGTGTGTATTTCAAACCTCCTGAAAAATAGAGGGGGAGTGCTTTCTCGTGATTTTATGGTAATGTTTTGCATTACCTTAAAAGTGGCACGGTAATGCGCGTTGCACCACAGTGAGTCGAGTGCCCCATTTTGATGCTTACAATTTTGGCTTGTCTGTTGCAAATCTGTTACTATGTACTCGTAAGTTTAATTACAGCAGTACAAAGATTTAGTGTGAGCTTGCAAGTGAATACCTGTGCTTGACATTGTTTCAGCGGCAATTTACGCTAAAAAGGTGCTGCAAGCATGCTGACGCACTCCTGAGTTTTAATGTTGAACTTTAACCAGAGATTCCCAATGTTTGTGAAAGAAGTCATAAGGAATCCTTTTGTTATTCTTTTATACGTCGGGCATAATACATTCATTCTGATTTTATTGATTTGCTTACTTGAAGTGCTAGCCATTTTATTTACAGGTCCTTACTGTGAGGCCAGCTCGTGTTTGCAACGAAGATAGTTGCTAGTTTTTTAGTGTTCATGCATTGTTGGCCATTGCTTGTATGCTACGGGCGGGTATCGGGCCCTTTTTGTGAGATTCTCATTTCGGTATGCTGTGATATGTATAATTAATCATTTACGTGCATACATATACATACACCTGAAGTGACACAGGTTCGGCAGCTTGTGTGTGCTCGACAGTTGAGGTACTTGTTGCTGGGACTGTGTGATCCCTTGCTGCAGTTTTCCTCTTGATCGTTCAGCCCAGCCATTTGGCTGATTGTGGATGAGATTTACATTGTCACCATTGTAGTCAAGACTTCAAGCAGGGCTGTTGATTATTTGGCTTATAAGTTATCATAGATGCATGTTTGTCCATTGCAGTGCATGATAGACCACGGTTCCAATCTCGGAACCTTTGCCAACTCAAGCTCGATCCATAGCAGCTTGCTGTGAAGCTGCTGAACCTCTCGAATGGAGCTACTCTCTATAATAGCTGTCGTTGAGTAAGAAAAAATTAGCTCCTTGCTCATCGTACATCATTCTTCAAGGCGACTGCTCTCTTCTCACTTCAGCGTTTATTTGTGAGGCTGGGGGAGACCAGTGAATATTGGACGCTCTGTATAAATGGGCAAGCTTCCTCAGCAATCTAGGGTGAAATCACAAGTCCTCTCCCGATCCCCTTTCTCCTCTTTCTTCATGCATGCCTTTGCGAGCGATGTATTTCCTTGGCATCATCTCATTCTTCTGGATTCGCACGCTACAGCAATAAGAGTGTCTTGAAAACATGTCATGGTATCGGTATGCTTAACATTGAGGGCAATCAAAAGCCACGAGTGAAGTATACGATGCTGCTTACCTCGACACTTATGTTACTCCTATCTTGATGAGGCAAGGAAAGGTTAGCACATGCTCTACAAGTGTCATGAGATATCAGTCTATTGCACATTTAAGCTCTAAAACAACTGAGTCATGTGATTATATTTTATAGAAATATTAACGTTGTATAAGCTTCCTTTTTTGTGATGTCTAGTCAGGGATAAATACGGATTTTGTTTCTTCGTTGTCTCGATGAGTATTTTCTCGAGAAAGAAGGTGACAGATGCAACACAGAGAGTTGTGAAGTTAATGCATCAGTAGCTAACATGTCACAAATTCAGTTGTGACATGGCACCTTTACAAGTACAGTGAACTGCCTAACCTGTAACAAATGTATATGTATTTCTGAATCGCCAGTTCATGTACAGATATGCTCTAAAAAGTAATGCATACACAAACTTCAGGAACAAAGTTAAAACCAGAATAATATTTGATCTTTATTTAGCCTTGTCATGAACTATAACAAATGAAAATTTTACCTTCTTGTGTTTGTTTGTTTTCTTGTGTGGCATTGACTTCACATGGCGTAGGCCTTGCGCCATGTTCTCACCTAAATGTGTACCGTGCTATGTTTGTGGTGTGGGAAGTTGCACCCTTAGCAAGCACTGGGAAACGATCAAGCATAATTTTTTTAACTGCTCTGCATCGATGTAGTTGGCTTTAATACGTGACTTGCAGTTTGTGAAAAAAAAAAACATTCTGCAGACAGTTATCACACCCCTACTTAAGAATACCACCGTCTTCATGCCTTCACTGTTGACACGTAAATGTTCTCGCTACTTAGGGTTGCATTATGTAATCTGGTTCGTGCTCGAGCTATATCATGTTATTGTTGGAAGTTGTCGTGCAAGGAAATTGCTTGTGCTAACGACCACTGATGCCACAAGAAAAGTATGGAGCAGGGCTGTTTATGGTCATGTCCAAATTTCTGCTGCCACTGTGTGCAATTCTCATTTAGCAACCAAGAAAGGTCGTCACATGGTTCCTAATTTTATGCAGGTGCAGGGCACTTATACGAGATGTTTGGTTTTATGTCCTGCATTTGTTATCTGACCCCTTTTTGTGACACACACGCACGTGCGCACACACACACACATAGCCTCACCTTGATTTCGGCAGTACTGACTGTACCATAGCCCTTTGGACAACTGTGAAGGTAACTTGGTCTGTGGTACTGGTAATGTGATCCTTGAAAAATTTAAGGAATTTCATTCCTCTTGAGTGCTTGTGTGTGGAGTGTTTTGATTTCGTGAGGAAAGACAATGCAGTTTCTGTGTTTGTGTCTGTGCTTTGTTTTGTGGAATTTCTTTCTTGCTGGCTATATGGAAACTGATATGCCAACTCTATATGTTGCAGGCAGTGTGACAGCGAAAAAAAAAAAAGAACAATTACATGCATAGAAGTCTTATGTTTACAACTGCTTCGTAAAACTCGCCATGTTGTGAACACGTACACTTGCGTGACTATGTATAGCATGGGTTTGCGTGCTCGTCGTGTTGACATTGTTGGCACATGACGAATTTCTTCGTGCCACCAAGCTCCGTTTTTTACGGATTGTGTTTCCTCCAGCTGGAAGTGGCCGTCGGGCTCTACTTTTATGTTCAGATTTATCACATGGACAGTTGGCGCTGCCACTAAAGTGTAATTACAATCACGTCTCCGTCTTAATGTTTTAGTCACGTAGATGTAAAGATCGTGTACCACGTATTCTGTGAGAAACTTTGTCAAGTCTTCTGGTTTGTTGCCTAGAGTATATGCCTTGTATGTACAGAAATGGTAATAAATTGATATTTGTAAATATGGTACATAATTATTTGCCAGCTGGCACATGTTTATTCTTGGCAAACTTCTGAAGTGATGGTAACATTCATGAACTCCTAGAGGCTCACTACTTATCTACAGCCATCTATTCTATTGTACCTTGTTGGCTAGAGAGAAAGGGAAATGGTTTTACTTTCTGAAAAACTAGCATTCTAAGCCCAGAACATATTGGCCTGATTGAGTGCTCACAGCTAAGATTACCACTTGAAATAGGTGTCCGCATATCCAGCCTGGTTCATGTACCTAGAATCAAGTTCAATGAAGAAATGATAAAAAAATTAAAATTAATAGTGATGAAAGTGGAGAGGTGGGCGCTGCAGCTACAAGATAATGAGCATCAGGCTTCGGGCTCCCTACTTGCCGCTGCCACGTGGTGCGAATTTTAAAAGCTTTAAACGAAAACAGACGAGCTTAAACAGTTATCTCTAAAATAGCTGCCAGACAGCATGGTCATGGCCAATATACAGTTCGTTGGTGGTAGATGCGAACCTTAGCCGCACTCTTAAAAAATATCCCGGGCCAGCGCCAGTAAGGGCTCTGCCCCCCCCCCCCCCCCCACCCCTCCCCCGTGCTCTGCGTTTATGGGCTGAAGTAAATTTAAATATAAACCACGAAATACAGATTTTCATGGCTGGTATTACTACTTCAATTCTGCGGTTCTAGATGCCAGCACGCCATAGCAAGGGACTACGGATTGTGACCATGGACTTGGCCATCCTATAAATATTCGCTTATAGATGCAAGTACGTGGGTGTAATTATTCATGCAGGAACCGAACCCGCGTCTTTGTTTTCAGCTGAGCAGCGAACACCGTTATGCAGCCAAGTGTTCAGCAAGCTTTGTAATGTGCCAGAGCGAACTGCTCCTGGTGCAGCCCTTCTTCCTCCCACAGTGAAGTCGGCTAGCCGTCAACAGCTGCGGCGGCTCACCAGCGCGCCTTCGCGCTGCGGTTCCGGGGAGGTCCGTCTTCGATTACGTTGCACCAGCCTCCCCAGCCCTGCCGTGTCAACGACACACCACTATTCCAAGCTCTGAACTTCTCAGCTCGGGTGACAGCCGCTCGGATACCACGGCCCGTATCTAGAGCTGTGCGTCAGAGCGATGACCTCGAACTTTATGATAGTAGATAATTTTACGCTGGCAAAAGAAAAATGGTATGTACCGCAGCATATTTAAAGCTGTCAAGCATATTTTAATGCTGTCAGAAAAAAACAAACAAACAGGACGTTTATGGAACGCGACTTCGGTAACACTTTTAACCACACTAACTGAATAATTGATCCCGCAGTAGACGGCGCCAGCTCGTCTTCATGCTTACTGTGTTGTAATATATATATATATATATATATATATATATATATATATATATATATATATATATATATATATATATATATATATATATATATATATATATGCAAGACTCTGGTGCTGCTTAATGTTTATATGTGCCAGCTTTACAAGTGATGCCTGTAATGCTGCACGTCAGCATTGCCATTTTTCTCCGCTGCTATGAAATGATGACTGTTGCCCGGTAGGCGTTTAAAATGTCTCGATAAAGGCGCGTCAATTTTGTGCCATAAATAGACCTGCACATCTAACCTACTTGAAAAATAATAACAATCCGATCCAGGTTCACTGTGTCACACTCTTAATCTGCAGTTCCCCGCGAATACCTCTCTACAACTTCCAGGTTCTTCGCGCCGTAGATCACTTTGCCAGGACTTGCGCCGAGTTCGCACTCCTTCCATGGAGGATAAACGCGTATGACGTCACCCGTGCCCAGCTCTTCGCGTGCGACCAGCTCCCACGGGACTTGCAAGCACAGCTGCGGGCGCTTGGCGTCGCTCTGTTCAGATCCGTAAACTTCGCACGCCAAGTAGGCCACACCGTAGACGTTCTCCATCGTAAGTATTCTGACAGAGAGAGTCGGTCCTGGGAGGAGCTTCGAGTTACCGCGGGATTTGCGACGCGCCACCAGCGCATTCGAGCTTTCTTCCTTTTGCCTGGCGAGTAGAAGAAGCGATTCGAGTCCTTTCTTAACGACGCCACGTTTCTTAACCTTCGTACCGAATTCATTGACAACCGCTTCGTTGCCCTTGAAGACAGATTTCTGACTGAAGCCCTGACCAACTCCTCCATCCGGCACAGATGGCAGCACGGGCGTCGCTGCACGCACAAGAGGCGATTGCGGCAGTGGCGTGCGGATCGAGTTACTGCTCGTTTCGCTTTCGCTCGTTTCGTCGACTATCATGGCTGCGTCGGTCGTGTTGCGACAGCCGCCCCCTCCCGCGGAATCTTGGCTGCTGCTTTCCTCGATCACGCACTGATCGCGATGGGCGTCGAGAACCCTCCGTCTTCTTCGAGAGACTCGACCAAAATGCCTTTCACGATAGTCGTCCTGCACGAAAGTAGACATCCAGGCGTTAGTTTCGGGACCCGTTCTGCTCGGGCTGCCTGCTGTGTGTGACAGGTCGACTGACGCGGAAGCACGTTTTGGAACGCGCACGTTGTCGCGAACGTTGCGAGATGTTTCTTCCACTGGCGTCGCGGCGGATTCGTCGATCGACCCTTTCAGCATCGCTAACGACGACAGCGCCGAAGCTGCGAGCACTTGTTTGGATGAACGCTTTTCAGAAGTGCGCAAGTTCTCAGGGTCAGATGGATGAACGATAGCAGCAGAATTCGCGTCACCAGAGGCTCGCTCCAACGACGGGCTGGAATACTCGTCGAAAGCGTAGTTGTCGGCCAAAGTGTCGTCGTAGTCCAACATACTCCACCCGTTTCGAAACATGATAAAGCTTGACGAAATAGACGGCAGTCAGAAATACACTGCGTGGCCTTTGTTTGATCGCTTCAAAGAAGTCCGAGAAGATGCTTTTCCTGTGGAGACACCTCAGCAAGTCGCATCACGAACAGACCACGTAACTGACACCTTTAAATTCAGCGCTGTTTCGTACTTAAAGTTAACCAGGGCGCAGTTTCGTAGAAGTGTAGCAGCTTGTGGTAGTTGGTATAGCATGACAATAATTATAGCACGAAAACAAAATGACGACACAGAGACAAGAAGGATCGAGAATCTACAGAAAGTTGACCAATTTGAAAAAATGCAGCTTCAGCAAGCCCGTGGCATGATAGAAGCTTCGCGTTTGCGCCGCAAAGTGTCGCCACCATCAAACCGACAACAGCGCACCGCCGGCGGCGGCAACCAAACACCTGTATGCGGCATCATTCACTTACTAAAGTAAGTATGCAAGATACTCGTGAGCGTCTAGTAAGTAGTTTACTGCATTGTACTGTATGGAAACGAGAGAAATTGAGACAGGGAGCAGCTCCAACGAGCGGGGGACAGCCATGAAGCACACGACGACGGTGACCACGGTGTCGTCTGCTATGCGAACGGCCGGCCGCCCTATCAAAACGCCCTGGTGCTTTCAAACCCATTTCGTTTTATACGCAACTATAAATTATATAAACAATATTTTTGGTTATTATTTGTTCAAAAAAGCGCTTTGAGTGCAGAAGGTAATAAAAGCTTGTTCACTTGTCAGTAAAATAGTAATTTTCTACTATTTGTACAACTGACGCCGCAATCCAGACGAGGCTATCGACGCGTCTAAATTTCGTCCCTATTGGCTCTATGGACATGTCACTCCACTGGCTTCATTCTACAAAACATAAATATAAGCAACGCACATGCACAAAAGGACTGCCGTTTAGAATAGACAACGACAGCTGTCACTAAGACGGTACTCGATGAAGCTTTGCCGTTCGTACGAGCTGTAACGAGTCATTTAAACACGTAGTTGCTGAAACGGCTAACGGGGCAAAAATAATATAACATTACATTTCGCAGTAATGTGGCGTAAATATGAACAAGCGTTTACCTATGAATACTGTGAGCTTGCCACTTGCGAGAAGTCAGTATTTCTTAGTAAATAGCGTCTTTAAATATATTCCAACGTGTGTTGGAAACCTGCGTATATTTTTATTTTATTGTACATTGTCATTCATAACACATAAGATATCACGATATTTGATTCTCTCCTACAAGAGTCAAGCATTTCACGTTAGGACTCTCTCCCTCTTTTACGTAATGTTTACGGCATGCTACGGGTTTCAGTTACGAATTTTCTCACCGGGCAATTTCAGTGAAAAAAAATGGCTTGCGGCATTGCCAAAGATTACGCGCGAAACATTATTTATTGTTCCCTATACTGATTGCTTCATGAAATATGTCCCAAATCCACGAAAATCGAGGGAATTCGGCATTTGTTCGATTGGTTCAAATTAACTTGTTTTGCATCCGCGGACATTTTAAGACGGCTAAATGCATCATTTGGTAATCAAGAAAATTAGGTTTCTAATTAGTGGAGCTCGGTGGTTATGTCTAATGGGAGAATTGAAGTTCTTCACGCGAAGAGCCCATTCAAGCTTCGAGCTTAAGGAAAAGTGGCCTCTAGTAACAATTTCGAAACAATGAAATTCCCTCGCGCTGTCTGTGACATCGAAACACAGAAGAGTGCGACTGTCACATTGTTCCGAGATGTCCAGATTGAGTGAGCGTCACTAAATAAACCGTCAACCGACTTCGTTGTGCGGGTGCATAAGCGGGCTGGCTGCGCTTGCAATTACAGCACGCATGGCGCATATTCGTTAACGAACGCGGAAGAACTACACCTCTGTAATTGTTGTCACGAGTGGCGACATCACTCTGCTCGTCTGCTTGTTGCGCTCATCGGTGTTTCGGTTTCACCGTTGAATTTATAAACCGTTTTTTTTTCTATATCTTAACAAAAACAAACACGGAAGGGCGTTCTGGCTACAAACATGAATGCACGTGCGTTTTTTTTTTCTATCTCTACCCCGTCTTTATTCCCTGGATTTCGTGCCGACCGGTTGTGCGCCCGCGCGCTCGCGACCTTCGGCGTCATCGTAGCTCTGGCCGACTGGGCTGGCCCTACGTCACCTCCTGTCGCCGG